GTGCCCACACCTCTGCTCGCCTCGCGCGAGACACGTGTCAGCAAACGCCATGTGGCTTCTGAAGCAGTACGAGGACACGCTTGGTGTACAGTACCGGAACATCAAACACCCTGATTGGAATACTTTTCCTGGGTTGGATCCAGTTCTGGGTACAGTCATGGAGTGGGGCCACAGCATGTCGGACGATCAATGGGCTGAGTTTCCAGCTTCAAAGAATGAGTACCACATCAAGGTCTCCGAATGGCTGTTGAACTCCACCAGCGCCGCGTACCTTCTCAACGACCGGGATTTTGACGCTCACACTCCGCTCCTCATCGAGGTTCACGCGAACCGAGGCAGGATCAGGTCAATCGCAATCCCGACACCATGAAGGACGCCGCGGACAGGAGGAAAGAGAGGCAGAAGTTGAACAAGGCGCGTGGTTCTGGTACTTCTGGTCCCGCTGCGGCCGCATCTCAGGGAGCAAGCTCTTCTCAGGAAGAGGCAGCTTTTGGTGCAACAGCTTCTGGTTCTCAACGTCCTCCAGAACCCGCACAACCTCCCGGTGGCAAAGAAGGCGGCAAAGGAGGCAAGCCCTCCAAGGGGAAAGGCAAAGAATCCGACAAGGGCAAGTCCAAGGGCAAATCCAAGGACAAGTCCAAGGGCCAAGGGCAAGAACAAGCTGAAAAACTGACTAGGTTCCGATTCGGATGTGGAAATGGACAATGGTCTCGACGAAGTTCCTTTGGAACAAAATGAAGACGTTGCTCCTGATCCACAACCTTCGTTGCCTAGATCCCCAGCAGATCCTCGTGGTTACGATCCAGTTCGCCATGCTCCGGTGATGCCGATTCACAGAGTTGACATCTACCGCTGGTCTGGTGAACATCGTGATACGACTTGGGATCGAGACATAGAGTTCGTCGACTGAACTGGCTGAGTGTTTCACGGAATGCTTCTTTCATAAGAAGGTATCCATTCTGAACATTCGTCATTTCATAGTGAGATGCTTTTCTCAGGAAAAGGTACTTCCTAAAGAACTCGTCTTTCAAGAAGATACTTATCTCAGGATAAGATACTTCCAATGCCCTTATACAATTCGCCTTGCCGCAAGATGTCATGCTGGCATCAAGTGGAGCTAAGCTCTACACTTTTATGTTGCAGTATGCTTTCCATCTGGAGAGGGAACTGAACACAAGTGGGCAACTTTCAAGCAAAAGTTTTCAGTGAAGATCCGTTTGCGTTTCGTGCGTGTTCTGCTCTTTTCATGAAGCTGTCTCCAGGGTAGAGAATGTATAGTTTCTCTGCAAGTCGCAGATGTAGCTCAATACTCCGCTAATTCGACCGAGAGCAATAACAGGCTAGTAGAATGCCGACTCCACGGCCATGCAGTTCTACGTGTTTTAAATTTGTGCCTGGTTGAAACACTGAATGTTACACATCCAGGTGCCTGTCTGTTTCACGTATCACTTGCATGTATCCATGCCTGTTGTTCAAGGTTCTAGCCTGTAGCAAAAGAGACACCTGAGTGCCTGTGTTCCTGTACGCCTAGCGAGGGGATACACGTCCAGGTTACATCTCAAGGGGAGGGCGGGGCCCCACCCTATATCCCGACCATTGAGTTTTGGGGGGGGGAGGGGGGGGGGTGGCTGCGGAGCGCGTGACCATACATACTCTTGTCAGGTGCACGGCCGTGCTGCACCGAGGTCATACGCGCGCGAAACCAAAAGGCAATTTGTCAGAGGGTGGAAGCCTTCTTCCTCAACTTTGCGCTCTTCCGTTAACCAAGATTCTTTCAACCCCGCTTCCTTCTACCCTATCCCCCGCCTCCCTCAACCCAGATAGTGCCGATTCTGTCAACCCCCATCGCCCGCTTCCCTCAACTTGCGAGTCTGTCAACCCCCATCGCTCGCTTCCATCAACTGCTCTTTCCGTCAACCCTGGCCCCCCCCCGCTTCTGTCAACACTACACTGTAATCTAAGCATCTCACCCGCTCTGTTGCCAGTCTCGCATTGACAAATAGGGCAGACGTAGGTTAGTTCAAAATTTGTAGGGTATTTAGTTTAAACACAGAAAAACAATCTTTCGTAGTCTTTAGTTTAAACTTTAAACACAGAAAAACAAACTTTCGGAGTCCCGCGTAGGCGCAAGTTAGTTTAGACATGGAAAACAAGCGTTTTATAGGGTTTATTTACTTTAAACACAGAAAACAAACTTTCGGAGTCCCGGGTAGGCGCAAGTTAATTTAGACATGGAAAACAAACCTTTTAAATTTTATAGGGTTTATCCAGTTTAAACACAGGAAGACATATTTTCGGAGTCCCGGGTAGACACCAGTTAGTTTAGACATGGACAGCAAGCCTTTTGTAGGGTTTATTTAGTTTGAACACAGAAAAACAAGCTGTCGCAGTCCCGGGTAGGCGCAGGTTATATAGTTTAGACATAGAAAACAAATTTTTTTGTAGGGTTTATGTAGTTTAAACACAGAAAAACAAACTTTCGGAGTCCCGGGCAGGCGCAAGTCAGTTTAGACATGGAAATCAAACCATTTATAGGGTTTATTTAGTTTAAACACAGAAAAACAAACTTTCGGAGCCCCGGGTAGGCGCAAGTTTGTTAGACACGGAAAACAAACCTTTTATAGGGTGTATTTAGTTCAAACACAGAAAAACAAGCTTTCGTAGTCTTGTTTAAACACAGCAAAAAACAATCTTTCCGAGGCCCGGGTAGGCGCAATTCGTTTGACTTCTTTGTCTGTGTTGGAATTTTGTGTCGTTTTCGCGTTATAACATTTTAGTTTTCTTCGCTTTTTACCTGTCTAAAGCGATTTCGTGTGGCTCCTTCATGTTGATGCAAACTATTCATTTAATTTTCGGTTGTACCTCATTTACTTTTTTCTTCGCTCTTGACCCCCCTGAAGCGATTTCGTGTAGCCGCTTAGCCTCTTCGTTCGTGTTGGAAAAGACGTTTTTGTGTAATTTTCAGCTATACTGTATGTACTTTCTTTTTTTCGCTTTCAACCCCTTGAAGCGATTTCGTGCAGCTCTCCTTCTTCTTCTGGTAGGAAAGACAAGCTCCGCTTTTCTTCGCTTTTTACCTTCCTAAAGGGATTTCGTGTGGCTTCTTCCTTCACGCCGATGAAATGTGTGTGCTTAATTTTCGGTTGTACCTCATTTACTTTCTTCTTCGCTCTTAACCCCCCTGAAGCGATTTCGTGTGGCCTCTTCGTTCGTTTTGGAAGAGACGTTCGCTTTCAACCCCCTGAAACGATTTCGTGCGGCTCGTCTTCTTCTTGTAGGAAAGACGAGCTCCACTTTTTCTCTCTTTTTACCTTTCTAGAGCAATTTCGTGTGGCTTCTTCCTTCATGTTGATGGAATGTTTTCGTTTAATTTTCGGTTGTACCTCATTTACTTTTTTCGTCGCTCTTCACGCCCCTGAAGCGATCTCGTGGGCCTCTTCGATCGTGTTGGAAAAGACGTTCGCTTTGGACTTCCTGAAACGATTTCGTGAGGCCCTTCTTCTTTGGTAAAAAGACAACCGCCACATTTTTTTGAGCTTTGTACCTTTCTAAAGCGGTTTTGCGTGGCTTCTTCCTTCATATTGATGAAATGTTGTTGTTCATTTACTTTGTTCTTCGCTTTTAGCCCACCTAAAGCGATTTTATGTGGCCTCTTCGCTTGTGTTGGAAAAGACGTTTTTGTGTAATTTTCTGCTATACAATGTTGAATCTTTTTCGTCGCTTCTAACCCCCGGAAGCGAATTCTTCGTGTTGGAGATAACGTTTTCAACTAATTTTTGGTTATACAGTATTTACTTTCTTTTCTTCGCTTGTCTCCGTGAAACGATTTCGCGCGGCTAATCCTTGTAGGAAAGACAACCTCCACCTTCCGAGTGTGTTCATGTTCCCTCGGAGTTTGTTTGGAGTGTGTTTTTCCTAGGAAAAACAAACCCTTCCCCCCAGAGTTTGTTTTCTGTAGGATACACAAAACCCCTCCCCCAGAGTTTGTTTTTGTAGGAAAAACAAACCCCCCTGTACCCCTGCGCCGCCCAAACCACTCCCCCTAGCATCACTGAAACAAACAAATTTCTCCCATCGGAGTTTGCTTTTCACCGCTGAAACAAACTCACCTGGTCAGAGTTTGTTTGTACCCGCTGAAACAAACTCGTCGAGACGGAGTTTCAAGTTGGTTTGTTTTGCCTCTCCTCCCCAACCTGGCTCTTCGTGACCCAACCAAAGATGATCCGCAAACGTTTGTTTTCTTCCGGCGAAGCAAACTCAACCCCTCCTCCCAGTGTTTGTTTCTTTTTGCGGAAAAAAACAAACTTGCCTGCACCCCCCCCTTCGGAGTTTGTTTTTCCTAGTGAAAACAACCCCTCCCCGCAGGGTTTGTTTTTTTTTGTAGGAAACACAAACCCCTCCCCCAAAGTTTGTTTTTTGCAGGAAAAAACAAACTCCGCTGCACCCCGCCTTCGGAGTTTTGTTTTCCTAGTGAACGCAAACCCCTCCCCCCAGAGTTTGTTTTTGTAGGAAAACCAAACCCGGGGCACAAGAATCCGCGAGTTTGTGGTTGAGTGAGTCCTTGTGGTTAGGGTAGCACGCTTGTCTGTAGTTGAGGCGACTCTTGGTGTATGGGTTGAACGAAGCAGTTGTTTGGGTTGAAGGAATCATTCCCGGGGCCATGGTTGAGTGAATCTGCGTGCTGGGGTTGAAAGAATCAGGTTGTGTATGGGTTGACCGAAGCAGTTGTTTGGGTTGAAGGGATCATTCCCGGGGCCACGGTTGAGCGAATCTGCGTGCTGAGGTTGAAAGAATCAGGTTTTGGGGTTGAAGGAATCCGCGGTTTCGGGTTGACAGAATCCGCGGGCAGTAGTTGAAAGAAAAATCGGCGAAAAGTTGAAGGAATGCGCGTGCGACCTTTGTCAGAGATTGAAATACTTGCAGGAAGGGCTGTCGTCCATGTGGTCACCGAAAGCCGTGGGACGCGTATGCAAGGCGAGTGGAAGATTCGAAGTCCCAAGGCTGGCCAACTTTTTCTGGTACTTGGCCTATGAAGTCCCTGCCCATTCCGATGTCCTCAGCATCCGACAGCCCAGCCGGATCCACAAGGAGGTCTACTTCAGAGAGATGCTCCTTGGCCGGCCTGATGGCTTGCGTCTGAGCATGAGGGATGGCTATGGGATAGCCGATAGCCCCGATAGCCTAGGCTACAGAGAAAGAAGGCTTTAGGACAGGATCCTGTTGAACCTGCTTTGGAGCCTCTCGACACTGCCGAGGCCAGGGGGGCTTTCTTGGTGGGGCGCTTAAAGAGATATTCTTTGCGACTGGGCAGGAGCACGACTGCGAGCTAGAAGAGAAGGTGCCAGAGCAGGAGGAGCACGAAGATCACGAAGAGCAAGAAGAACAAGAAGTGCAAGAAGACGTTTATGCAGAGGCAACTTACCAGCATGTTGCCCCTTCTGTTTTATATAAGCAGCGTCGCGCGTTTTCTTCTACATTCGCCGAGGACCTCGGCAAGGAACTCCTGAACGAAGCGCAACATCCGCAGGTTCCAGAACCAGAGGTTCCTGCAGTGCCGTGGCCTGTAATGGAATCTCACCTCCTGCCAGGCGTGTTGCATTCGAGTAATCGAGTTCTCGCTCAGGATCTGTCGCAGAAGTACAGGCTCCCCACGGAGCAACACGAACTGCAGCAGGCGATGTCCACACGGCAGACGCTGTGCATCGACGACCCCATGGAGCTGGGACGTTCCCTCGGCCTGGGCCTTTGGGGGCCTCGCAGAGCCGAGCGCAGAGTGCTCTTTGAAACGCTTTGCTTCCTTCGCCACCTGCAGAGGTGCGAGCTTCCAGGGATTCGAACGTCTTTGCTACGAGTGGAGGTGCCAAGGGCAGCATCCGTCACTTCGCAGCCGAACACTTTGCTTCATATGGACTTTCAGCAGAGGCGCGCATATCACCTCCTGTCAGAAGGGCCTGGCGACGACATTCAACGCTTGCGTGAGCTGTTCTGCTTCTTATCTAAAGCTGCATTGTCTAGATTGTCTGGACTCGATTCAAGATTACTCCGGCCTGCAATCCTCACATCCGAGGTGACAAGCCCGCGCCACCTCGGTCGATCTACACCCTTGAGAAGCAACGGGTGTTTCCAACTTTGGTCGAAAGGGCCGATAGGGACAGCAGGGCCGACAGGGCGGACAGAAGAGGCGACAGGTGGAGTGGGACAAGTGGGAGTGGCAGGTCCTGGTATCCCGGAGCTTATCAAGGCAAGGGTCCGACGGCAGAGTTTCCGCAGAGCACGGCATACCCAGGCTGGCGTGGTCAGAAGGGGCCACGACATGGAGAAGATGTTGGCCAAGCGCGAGCTGGCAAGGACACAAGGTGGAGCACAAAGGAAGGAGATGGCAAAGGGGCCAAGGAAGGAAAAGACGGAAAGTTTGTGGCTATTGCTATGGCGAAGGGTATCAAAGGCCAAGCCGAGGGCAAAGGCTTCTGGCAGTGAGGCCAGACCCTTCTGCACCTTTGCCCAAAAGGTTTGCGAGCCATGTTCTCAGCAGGGACCACTAGAGTTCTCCGCCTGTTGGACATGTGCCAATGCTACCGAGACGCGTTGTAGGATGAGCTGCAGTGACACGGGAGTGGTGAGTCAGAGGTGGTACAGCAGACAGCTTTTCCAGTCAAGGTGATGTGTTGGATTCCATTACCGAACTGTGCTGACAGTGTAGGTGCTACACATGTTTCGAGCACTACGTGTAGCCTACTCCCAGAGCAATAGGCTGTTGTCAAGGATTTCCCTGGGTATCCTGACAATAAAACAGCACTTAGTTGAGCAATTGCAACGTGTCTCCATGGACTTCTCCAATCGGCTTTCTGCGGTTCATGCCGAACTGGCGGAGGTGTGCCTTGCCTGACACCAGCAATCAAGCACCGTCATGTGCCTACGAGCCGCTTTCTGCTGTGTAGGCGTAAGGTCTTTGAAAGGGGAAGCCGGGAATCCGACAAGTTGACAGACCATTTCTTCGACTTGACTAAAGCAGTTGAGACAGTGGTCACTCGAGAAGTTAACAGAGGAAAGCCAAGCGCCATAAGCCATAAACGGAAACGGATTGCGGAGGAAGGTGCGCACCGATGGCAAGAGACTTGAGGAGTTGAGAAAGGTTCGCTTTCCCTGCTGGAAGACGAAAGAAGGCAAGCTGTAAGCTGTTCGGGGAGGAAAGTACAGTCGCTCAGTTGTGAGCAGAGGCGAGCTGCCTGCGCGAGTGGCGGAGGTTACCTGGGCATCTCTGGCAGAGCTTCGGGCGCACTTAGCTACAATTACTGGATCAGCCCTACTCCTTCGGGATCCATTGCTGGTTGCCAGTTTCAGGTGAGCTTGCAAGCTACGTGGAGGAGCTACAAGAGAAGGAGCATCGCAAGCATGTGCCCGTTAACTTCCACGAACACGCACATGTACTGGCTGCGCAGTGTGCAACGATGCTCAACGTTTCTTCGAATACACAGGAACAGCTGCTCCGCCAAATTACCAACTCGCAGGTGCTGCCGGGTCTGATGTAGCCGAAACCGCAAGGGAGATGGTGAGAGTGACATGGGACAGTAGTGCAGCCAGCGCGGTGGCCGCAATCATTGTCTTTGCAACATCGCTTTCCGTGAAGCGGATAAGTGCTTTCTACCTCTCGAGCGGTCGAGATGGGATGTTTCAGTCATTTAGTCCTGCCGAGGTCGGACCACTGAGGCCACCTCCACCCGGTCCGGCTAGTACCTTCGACCGCTGCGCCTTGCCCAGTGTGTCCGGTTCCAAGACTCGTGGCCAAAGGTAGAAACCGCGGACGAGATGGGTGAATGAGTCCAGCCACTTCTGCGTCTACAAACCCACGTTTTCGGAGCATTCACTGAAGAATGCGACACGTCTTCCTGTCTGTCACAGAAAGACATAGTTACAACCTAGGACATCCAGGGAACCTGAGCGGGGCGAGATTTTGGGGCAGCTGCACGTGTCAGGGAACCGATAGTCCCTCATCACTGCAACTTCTTGTTTCGTGTCCTGACACGAGTCGTCTTGCGAGACAGCAGGGTGCATCACGTTGCATGCTGGCATCTGCCATCGGGAGAGCATTGCCTATACGCTGAGGCAACACATCATCACATCTAATTTCACACAGTCCGGCCGAAGAGCAGCCATGTGCCAGCCTGGACTTAACAGAATCATCGGCATAACCATAGGGCAATAGGGCATTGCACAGTCGGCATTTATGTTTGGTACGAATCTCACAAGCATTCCTGTCATGCTGGACGTTCATGTGAACTTTGATGTTTGTGGCTATGCATATTGACTTGCATGTACATGTGTACATACATGCATGCATACATACGTACATACATACGCGCCTACATATACAAATATTCGGGCAGACGTAAACACACGCTGTCAGTATATATATATATATATATATATATATATATATATATATATATCAGTATATATATATATATATATATATACATGTGTGTGCAATGCGGTCTTCGGATCTGCCAAGCGGGAGCCAAAAACATGTGTGTGTGTGCTTTGCGGCAGAGTATGTATACATACATACATACAGACAGACAGACTTACTCATGTACTTTTCCATAATCAAGAGCAAGAGTCTTCTTACAGAGACCATGCATACACATAGTTACATAACTGATTTCCATATATGTAGCTGCACATCTGTACAGGAGCCAGCACCTCTTGGACTACGAGGCCGTCCCTTACGAGGCTGCTAAGGCCCTCCGGGCCTTAGCCTCCCTCGCTTACAGTGAGCCCGTGGAGGTGGTCGGGAAGCTCAGTCGGGGGTTTCCCGAACTCCTTGCGGTGCCTCCCTAGTAGAATGTAGTAAGTAACCAAAAAATGTAGATTTAGCTCGAGTTTCCTTGAGGTCCGAGAAGAAAAGCGGGCTTGCATGCAAGTAATTTTAACGCTACGCCGCCCGCCTCGGCTGTGTAGCGGCAGGGCGAGGGGGCAGTCGATGTTTTTTTATGCTAGGGCGGCCAAACCCCAACCTTTACACGGTTGTTGATACGAAGTGCGAGGAGAATGGATACAAGGGGGGTGGAGGGGGGAGGGGGAGGGGGGGGGAGGGGGGGGGGGGGGGGGGGGGGGGGGGGGGGGGGGGGGGGGGGGGGGGGGGGGGGGGGGGAGGCCGACAAATCAGGTAAAATGAGACGAACGCAAAAAACGGGTGTCTCCAAACATTTGCACTGCAGGGAGGAGGATTCGGTGGAGGGTACCCCCAAGACGCCTGGGCCTCTCCTCGGCGGATTAATTGGACAATGACACTCTGGCACTATGGATACGCTCCAGTACGCCCCATGCGCACCTAAGGCGAAGGGGAGCTGCATAGAGCAGCTGCTGCGAATTCTCCGCCTCCATCGTGATTCCCTCGAGATCCTGGCCTTGCGCTGCCTTTGTCACATCTGCTTCTCCGCCGAAGCGGTCCGATTTCTGCCAATTCAGATCCTGCCAGCTTTGCTTGAGACAGAGAAGGAGGAAGGCTCGAAGCTCGCTTTCGAGGCTATGGCCCGAATCCTGGTGGCCGAGGCCACCGAGCGGCCAAGGCTCTCGCCAGAGCTCTTCCGAGCCCAGTTTCAGAAAGCGCAGGGCCAGGGTGCGCAGTCCTTCAAGGAGATGCTCTTTCAGAGCCTTCAGGGAGAGCTCGTGCCGGCGACGTTCTTGGCCGAGCAATTTCTCGCCTCTGCACCCGTTTCCACGGGACAGGACGGAAAGGAAGAAGTCACGGCTTTGGGTTGGCTCTGGATGCTCGCAGAGTTGCTTGATACAAAAGGAAACAGAGAGCTGGCTGAAGCTTTGGTGTGCCAGAGAAGTGGCATGGTCAAGGGCATTGCAACTGCAACAACTGCTCTCATGGACGTGCACACAACTTCACTTAGTGTGCAGCGTCAGGGCATCGCTGCACTGGCAGCCTTGGCCTCTCGGACAGAGAAAACTCTGAACTTGTGAAGAGCCGGAGAGCCGGAGCCGCAAACCGACCCCAAACCGCCCGCCTTCGAGAGTTTCTGAGGCCCGGAAGCGAAGTGGCCCCATGGCCATCGCAGAGGCTAGCAGCGTGAGGCGCGTTGAGAAAGCACTGAGTGCACTTGGAGACGAAGCTCGGATCTACGGGACATCCCAACTTGCCCCGTCTCACTTCCTAAACTCTGCTTAAAGGTGCCCAGCAGGTGCCCAACATGCTTTGTCGAGCCCTTCCTGGTAGCAAGACCCCACTTGTCGTCTAGCACCATCAGCATCCAGGGAGGGTTCCGGGTGCGTGCAGAAGAACAGCAGTCGAAGGTAGATGAAGGTAGTATGAATCATGCATGCCGTCCCATTAGCATGATGCGCCCGCGGGCACAGCGTGGCCTTGGATGGGTGAAGCACGTGAGATCACCTGAGACTGCAAGTGTGCAAGTCTAAGGATGCATCACTTAGCTGCAGCTCGATCTCGTTCTTGGCCTGCGGCTCAAATTCTATGTCAAGCTGCCGGCTGCGCAGTGTTCAGTGCGCGCTATGTAATCGGAACTGTAGTAAAGCACGTCCAGATTGCTTGTAGGCAGCTTGCAAGTGACCTTCGAAGTCGTGGGCCTAAGCTAAGTCGCTGGAGGAGCTCAGCAGCTTGCAACCAAGCGCGAGCCGACACGTTTCCAGCAACGTCTCAAGCAATAAGAGACAAACTGGTTGACAGATCTTCGCTTCAAAAGGAAAACGAGTCATGGCACTACAGTACTATGGTTTATCGTTGTCCCACTGCTTAATGCTTGCGATTCACGCTTTACTCCTTTGCCAACCGTCTAAGATAACATGACAAGATGTGTACACAGTCACGATTACCCCCGAACCCGCCCCTCACGGTCAGGGCACGTTATACATGCTTGGGCTGTATGAAATCTTTGGGCTTGTCGAACTGAAGGTTTCAGTGCTGGACTGGCCACTAGCGGCGCAGAAGCTGCAGCTCGGCTTTCCATTTGCAGAATGCAACACACTGGGAAAGGAAAGCTCTGTGATATGGCTACGGCTACGAGCGCACGGGTTGGCGCATGCAGAGATGCAAGACTGAGTTCCACATAGCAGCCGAGGTGCGAACTAGACTTTGCTCGCATCGTGTTTCTCATCAAGCAGGCCATGCAACGTCACTTGGATGCCGTCGCCTGAGCTCGGAACCCGAAGTTGACGCACAGCACCATGGACCGCGCAGAAAAGGTGCAAGACAGCACACAGCATGTGGAGTCATCGCTGTGTGCCAGAGCTGATGTTGCCTTCTTGCGCTGTGCGGCGCATGTGCGAGCCCACAGCAAAAAGAGGCTACGGAACTCGACGCTAAAGGCCCATGGGGCGGGCCTGTCAAAGGGCAAGACTTAAAGTAGAGGCCAGCTCTGATCCGAGCTCACGAGGAGCGTGCGGCTAAACATGCCCAGGCCCCCAGGCCCAACTAATGAAATGAAGATGCCATGTCAGTTTGCAAACACATGGTACGAACCACCGATATGCCAGCAAGGTCGTTTCTCTTCAGGCGGGGACGGTTTCCTGCCTTGTGTCAACCCCTGCCAAGCATATGGTCCAAGCTCCAAGAGGTATTGATGCTTGATACAGCTGTCTCGGTTTCGTGCTGTGTCTCGTGCTTGATGAGCTTGACTGATGAGCTAGCAAGGCCAGTGCCACTGTCAGACCTGGTAACCTGGTGCAGGTGGTAGCACTGTCCAGCTTGGCCAGGTTTCTTGGCCTTCTTGGACGGTGCGACTTAGGCAAGCGGCAGGATGCAGGTGGGTGCGTCCGAGGTTGCTGGAAATCCTGGCCTGCAAAGCGGATGTCATGGCCGGTGGCGCTGAGGGCCTTGTGAAAACGGCCACTTGACAAAAACTGCTTCTTCGGACAAATGCCGGTTTCGGGCCTTCAGACTTTCACATGAGGTGATGGCCCGGCACAAAGACCAAGAGCAGCTCTGGACCTGGGGCCGCGCCTTGGACTTGAGAAGAGTGGCCATCCTTGTGCGTACTTGGAAGAGGCCGTTGGGGACGATGGACTTCGTTGGAGCTGTGAAGCGAAACTGACATGCCTTCGCAGCCAGGCATCGTGTTGGACAGTCTCGGCGCAGATCGACACTGGACCTACCGCCAGTGAGCGTGCTCCAGTTGAGGAAGCAAGCAAAATGTAGTTGTGCCATGTTGTGCCATCACAAGCTTCTTCGACAAGGTCTTACGTAGGAAACCGAAACGAATCTAGAACCATTCGATATGGTATGATAGAATATGATGGAATTGACGTAGAAACAACTTCGAAAGCAATGTTGTCTATATAATCGCGAATACCCCGTCCTCCCATGGAAGAGAACATGGACCATGAAACTGTTTCAAGTATCTTGTGGTTAGGATAGAAGGAGAGTAGCAAGTCTTTTTCAAAGAAGGAGAACTGTCATGTTAAGTTAGAGGACTAAATAGAGTTGTCTTGTTTCGTACGTGCATTGGTTGGTTCGAAAACACCGCCTACTTCGGGCACAAGCAGATCGGAGATGTCTCAGAGCATGAAACAAGATCGGCGATTTCCCAAAGGCCGTGATTCGGGTGTGATCCGGCTGTGATATGGCTGTGATTCGGCTGTGATCCGGCTAAACCATCGGTTGCTCGTCTCGCTGCTAAAGCACAGTTCTTTCTGTGGCAGGCGTCAAGCTCCCGGACGTCTGAGAAGCTTCTACTATAGAGCTCACCTCTTCTGGTCGGTCCCAATCCCCTGGATATCTTAGTTACTTAGTTTCAGTACAAATTGCTGAAGAAATTGTTTGAGCAACACTTTCCCTGCTATCCAAGCAAATCGACGATTTCTCAGAGCTTGAAACTGTTGCATTCACGATTTCTCTGAGCTTGAAACAAGTGGATCGGTGATTTCTCAGAGCATGAAACAAGTGGATCGTCGATGTCTCAAAGGCTCTGCTTCGTTGATGTGGCTGTGTTTCGGCTGTGATGTGGCTATGACGTTAGTGGCTTTCATTCGGCTGTGACGTAGCTGTGGTTCGGCTCTGATCTGAGCCTGAAACAAGTGTATCGACAATTTCCTTCAGGTCGTGATTTGGCTTTGATCTGGCTGGTTCGGCTATGACTCTGAGACAAGCGGGTCGACGATGTCTCAGAGCTTGCTACAAATGATTCTGCAAAGTCTCAGAGCTTGAAGCAAGTGCATCGGCGATTCCTTGAAACAAGTTGATCGGTAATATCCCACTGAGAGTCGGCTGTGGGTCGGCTGTGTGGCTGTGATTCGGCTGTCATGTGGCCGTGACTCGCTTGTGATCCTGGGATGTGGCTGTGGTTCGGAGGGTGATTCGGCGGTGATCCGGGTGTGACCCGGGTGTGATCCGGGTATGATGTGGCTGTGATTCGATTCTGATTCGGCTGCGATTCTGAAAAAGCGGACCTGCGATTCCTCAGGGCCTGACACAAGCGGACTGGCGAAATCTCAGAGATTGGCACAAATCCGACTGCGGTTTCTCAGAGCTTGGACACAAACAGATCGGAGATGTCTCAGAGCATGAAACAAGATCGGCGATTTCCCAAAGGCCGTGATTCGGGTGTGATCCGGCTGTGATTTGGCTGTGATGTGGCTATGCTGTGATTCGGCTGTGATCCGGCTAAGCCATCGGTTGCTCGTCTCGCTGCTAAAACACAGTTCTTTCTGTGGCAGGTGTCAAGCTCCCGGACATCTGAGAAGCTTCTAATATAGAGCTCACCTCTTCTGGTCGGCCCCAATCCCCTGGATATCTTAGTTACTTAGTTTCAGTACAAATTGCTGAAGAAATTGTTTGAGCAAAACTTTTCCTGCTATCCAAGCAAATCGACGATTTCTCAGAGCTTGAAACTGTTGCATTCACGATTTCTCTGAGCTTGAAACAAGTGGATCGGTGATTTCTCAGAGCAGAAACAAGTGGATCGTCGATGTCCCAAAGGCTCTGCTTCGTTGATGTGGCTGTGTTTCGGCTGTGATGTGGCTATGACGTTAGTGGCTTTCATTCGGCTGTGACGTAGCTGTGGTTCGGCTCTGATCTGAGCCTGAAACAAGTGTATCGACAATTTCTTGTCAGGCTGTGATCTGGCTGGTTCGGCTATGACTCTGAGACAAGCGGGTCGACGATGTCTCAGAGCTTGCTACAAATGATTCTGCAAAGTCTCAGAGCTTGAAGCAAGTGCATCGGCGATTCCTTGAAACAAGTTGATCGGTAATATCCCACTGAGATTCGGCTGTGAGTCGGCTGTCTTGTGGCTGTGATTCGGCTGTCATGTGGCCGTGACTCGCTTGTGATCCTGTGATGTGGCTGTGGTTCGGAGGGTGATTCGGCGGTGATCCGGGTGTGACCCGGGTGTGATCCGGTATGATGTGGCTGTGATTCGATTCTGATTCGGCTGCGATTCTGAAAAAGCGGGCCGGCGATTCCTCAGGGCCTGACACAAGCGGACTGGCGATATCTCAGAGATTGGCACAAACTCGCCGGCGGTTTCTCAGAGCTTGGGCACAAGCAGATCGGAGATGTCTCAGAGCATGAAACAAGATCGGCGATTTCCCAAAGGCCGTGATTCGGGTGTGATCCGGCTGTGATATGGCTGTGATTCGGCTGTGATCCGGCTAAACCATCGGTTGCTCGTCTCGCTGCTAAAACACAGTTCTTTCTGTGGCAGGCGTCAAGCTCCCGGACATCTGAGAAGCTTCTAATATAGAGCTCACCTCTTCTGGTCGGTCCCAATCCCCTGGATATCTTAGTTACTTAGTTTCAGTACAAATTGCTGAAGAAATTGTTTGAGCAACACTTTTCCTGCTATCCAAGCAAATCGACGATTTCTCAGAGCTTGAAACTTTTGCATTCACGATTTCTCTGAGCTTGAAACAAGTGGATCGGTGATTTCTCAGAGCATGAAACAAGTGGATCGTCGATGTCTCAAAGGCTCTGCTTCGTTGATGTGGCTGTGTTTCGGCTGTGATGTGGCTATGACGTTAGTGGCTTTCATTCGGCTGTGACGTAGCTGTGGTTCGGCTCTGATCTGAGCCTGAAACAAGTGTATCGACAATTTCTTTCAGGTCGTGATTTGGCTGTGATCTGGCTGGTTCGGCTATGACTCTGAGACAAGCGGGTCGACGATGTCTCAGAGCTTGCTACAAATGATTCTGCAAAGATTCAGAGCTTGAAGCAAGTGCATCGGCGATTCCTTGAAACAAGTTGATCGGTAATATCCCACTGAGAGTCGGCTGTGAGTCGGCTGTGTGGCTGTGATTCGGCTGTCATGTGGCCGTGACTCGCTTGTGATCCTGTGATGTGGCTGTGGTTCGGAGGGTGATTCGGCGGTGATCCGGGTGTGACCCGGGTGTGATCCGGGTATGATGTGGCTGTGATTCGATTCTGATTCGGCTGCGATTCTGAAAAAGCGGACCTGCGATTCCTCAGGGCCTGACACAAGCGGACTGGCGAAATCTCAGAGCTTGGACACAAACAGATCGGAGATTTCTCAGAGCATGAAACAAGATCGGCGATTTCCCAAAGGCCGTGATTCGGGTGTGATCCGGCTGTGATGTGGCTATGCTGTGATTCGGCTGTGATCCGGCTAAGCCATCGGTTGCTCGTCTCGCTGCTAAAACACAGTTCTTTCTGTGGCAGGTGTCAAGCTCCCGGACATCTGAGAAGCTTCTAATATAGCGCTCACCTCTTCTGGTCGGCCCCAATCCCCTGGATATCTTAGTTACTTAGTTTCAGTACAAATTGCTGAAGAAATTGTTTGAGCAACACTTTTCCTGCTATCCAAGCAAATCGACGATTTCTCAGAGCTTGAAACTGTTGCATTCACGATTTCTCTGAGCTTGAAACAAGTGGATCGGTGATTTCTCAGAGCATGAAACAAGTGGATCGTCGATGTCTCAAAGGCTCTGCTTCGTTGATGTGGCTGTGTTTCGGCTGTGATGTGGCTATGACGTTAGTGGCTTTCATTCGGCTGTGACGTAGCTGTGGTTCGGCTCTGATCTGAGCCTGAAACAAGTGTATCGACAATTTCTTTCAGGCTGTGATCTGGCTGTGATCTGGCTGGTTCGGCTATGACTCTGAGACAAGCGGGTCGACGATGTCTCAGAGCTTGCTACAAATGATTCTGCAAAGTCTCAGAGCTTGAAGCAAGTGCATCGGCGATTCCTTGAAACAAGTTGATCGGTAATATCCCACTGAGAGTCGGCTGTGAGTCGGCTGTGTGGCTGTGATTCGGCTGTCATGTGGCCGTGACTCGCTTGTGATCCTGTGATGTGGCTGTGGTTCGGAGGGTGATTCGGCGGTGATCCGGGTGTGACCCGGGTATGATGTGGCTGTGATTCGATTCTGATTCGGCTGCGATTCTGAAAAAGCGGACCTGCGATTCCTCAGGGCCTGACACAAGCGGACTGGCGAAATCTCAGAGATTGGCACAAATTCGACTGCGGTTTCTCAGAGCTTGGACACAAACAGATCGGAGATGTCTCAGAGCATGAAACAAGATCGGCGATTTCCCAAAGGCCGTGATTCGGGTGTGATCCGGCTGTGATTTGGCTGTGATGTGGCTATGCTGTGATTCGGCTGTGATCCGGCTAAGCCATCGGTTGCTCGTCTCGCTGCTAAAACACAGTTCTTTCTGTGGCAGGTGTCAAGCTCCCGGACATCTGAGAAGCTTCTAATATAGAGCTCACCTCTTCTGGTCGGCCCCAATCCCCTGGATATCTTAGTTACTTAGTTTCAGTACAAATTGCTGAAGAAATTGTTTGAGCAACACTTTTCCTGCTATCCAAGCAAATCGACGATTTCTCAGAGCTTGAAACTGTTGCATTCACGATTTCTCTGAGCTTGAAACAAGTGGATCGGTGATTTCTCAGAGCATGAAACAAGTGGATCGTCGATGTCTCAAAGGCTCTGCTTCGTTGATGTGGCTGTGTTTCGGCTGTGATGTGGCTATGACGTTAGTGGCTTTCATTCGGCTGTGACGTAGCTGTGGTTCGGCTCTGATCTGAGCCTGAAACAAGTGTATCGACAATTTCCTTCAGGCCGTGATCTGTGTGATCTGGCTGGTTCGGCTATGACTCTGAGACAAGCGGGTCGACGATGTCTCAGAGCTTGCTACAAATGATTCTGC